GTGTCCTGCTATGGAATCGTCGACCTAGCGCAGATTCTGGCTCCTTCTGGCCCTTCCCTGCCAGGCTTTCGATGGGCCCTTCCCCTGGCCCGTCACCACCGGCCTCAGCCTCACCTGCGTCTCGCGTCCCGGGGCCGCCAGGGTATTCTCCGCGCTCAGCACACAGTCGGTCGGCAGGGCGCGGGCGGTGCCAAGGGCTCTCCGGTCTTGCCGGGGGAGGGCTGGCCGTGGGGCTGGGCCGCTCGGCTGCCTGGGAGGCTGTCTTCCAGGGAAACCACTGGCGGCCAGACCACCCGCGGGATGACCGGCGGCCCGGTGCCTTAGCTTATGAAGGACCCTACTTAAAGGGAGTCTAACCGGCGAGCGGGGCAGGGTATGGAGGGAGCGGGTTATCCGATTACCTGGCTTACAAGGGGGTGACGTGCTGACCGCAGTGCCCTGATCGGTCACCCACAGGCCGCCTGGCTGCCCTGCAGGGGGACCCGGGCCACCAACTTGGGGGCGGGCTGACAAGTGTAGAGACAGGCTCCTGGCTGGCTGGGCGGCGGATGGGCTCTCAGGGAGCCTCACCGTCCGCCTGACTGACCCCGGCCTGGTCTCTGTCCAACCAGGAGGCTCCAGGGGGCACCTCTAGGCCCCAGAGCGGCCCTGGCTGCCCGAGGTCATGCTGACTGAGGGACCCGCCGACGGTCAGACAAATCCTCCCTTCCCGGGAGCCCGGCGTGGTCAGGCCCAACGCACGGCCCACGCTCCTCAACGGCCAGGAGAGCCAACAGCCCGGGCCGGCCTCGCGAGGTCGGTTACCGCCGGGCTGAGGCGGGCGAAAGCCCGCGAAACGACGCCCGGAAGCCTCTCGGGGGGTGCTCCCGGCATGCCTTGCGCGGGGCGCGTCCACCCGGCAGCCAATCAGCGGCTGCACGTGCGGCTACTCCACAGCCAATCCGCGGCTGCACGTTCTCTTACCCGCAGCCAATCAGTGCCTGCTCAGGCGTCTTCCCTAGCCAATCAGCAGCTGCATGCTCTAGGACCCTGCCGCCAATCAATGAGGCGGGTGAGTGCCCGCGCTCGCGGCGGCGTGCCTGCTATGTATCTTGGATATTCTTTGTTATGTATATTTTAAATGTATCTTTATTGATCTCAGAGAGAGGAAGGGAGAGGGAGAGAGAGACAAACATCAATGATGAGAGTCATTGATCGGCCGCCTCCTGCACGCCCCTTACTGGGGACCAAGCCCCAAAACCCCGGCTTGGGCCCTGACCGGGAATTTCAACCACTAGGAAACACCGGCCAGACATCACATTGTTTTAATAGTTTACATATTTATTTCTGTGCCTTCCCCAAACCCCAAGCCCCAAACCATGCACTTGAGTTTCCCTGAGGCTGCTTCCGGCATATAACAGACATGCAGTAAAAATTTGAAGAACAAAGAAATGGGGAGAAGATGTAGGGATTCCCCCAATGCTCCCTTCGTGAATGAAATGCAAAGGAGCTGAAATGCACTTTTGTTTTTAAACTAATCGGGAGTGAAGGTTTCTGTGGTGACCATGCAAAGAAGAACTGGAGAAAGTCTGTCGCTCTGCTGAAGCATCTCTGTGAAGGCAGAGGGGCAGGTTCTAACCCAGTGGTTCTTAATTGCAGCCTTTTGCTACCCACGGACATCTGGCGATGTCTGGAGATACTTTTAGTTGTCAAAACAGGGTGGAGAAAGTTCCTGGCACCTTGTGGGTGGAGGCCAGGGTTGCTCCTTAATATCCTACAGTGCACAGGAAAGCCCACACAGCAACAACAAAGTCACTCAGCTACAAATGCCCAATATCCATAGCACTGAGGCTGGTAAGTCAGGGCCCTGATCCAACCCAGGGGAGAGGGCGGGGTGGAGGTGGTGGTAAAGGCAACAGGTGCAGCCCGTCTGAGGAGGTGATATTCGAGCCAGATCTCAATGGACAAGAGTGCGCTGCAAAGATGGGGAAAGGGAACACGACGACCGGGAGATGGAATAGAGCGTCATCCTGATACGCGAAGGGTGCGGGTTCAGTCCCCAGTCAGGGCACATACAAGGAGCAACCAATGAATGCATCAATGAGTGGAGCAACAAATCGATGTTTCTCTCGAAAAATCAATAATTAAAATGTAAAAGAAGGGGCAGGGGGTCTTCAGGTGGTGGCAAGGATGTGGCTGAAGTGTGTGAGGGCTGGTGGCTGAGAGAATGGGGTAAGGTAGATGTAGGTGAGGTTGTGTAAATTTCTTGAACAGCTGCTGCCGGGTTGATGCCTCCAAAGTGGCAGGTGTGAAAGGAGGTTTAGCTCGGGGAGGGGCAGAGTTGGAGTGAGTGTTAGAAAGTTCTCTCTGCTGCTGGTGCTGGTGATGGGCTGGATGGGGTGAAATGGAGCCCCAAGGCTACGGGGGGGGGAGGGAGTCTGTTTCAATGGTCCTTGGGAGAGAGGCTGGGACCAGATCTGGGGATGGAGAGGAGGGGATAGATCTGGGACTCCGTGACTCATGAGAACGAGAAATGTGGGAGGGGAAGTGAAACAAATTTCTGGCCATAAATACAACTAACTTAAAATAGGCCTGATACTTACTTGCTAACCTTCGGGTCAGCAGCCTTCCTGTAACCACAGCGGCACCCACTTGGTCAGGGTGCAAGTGGAAAGCCTGTCACAATTTATTTACTGACTGAAACGGAGAGGTCACTTAGGAAGTCAAGTGATCACCTCAGCAGCATCTGGCTGAGTGCACTTTGTCCAGCTGCCCATCGCTGACCGTTACTGCTGGCTCACTGTGCTCCAGGACTCCTCAGAACAAGCACCCGAGCTAAGGAATGCTCTTCCATTTAACAGATGAGCCAGTGGAAGGAGCAGGAGGCTAAGTGGTGAAGGGGGTGCTTCAATCCTGGTGGAATGACTTTAAGTGCTTAAATGATTGTTGCCCAGCCAGTTTGGCTCAGGGATTGAGCATCTACCTAGGATCCAGGAGACGGCAGTTTGATTCCCAATCAGGGCACATGCCCGGGTTTCGGCCTCGATCCCCAGTGGGGGGCGTGCAGAAGGCAGCTGATCAGTGACTCTCTCGTCATTGATGTTTCTCTCTCTCTCTCTCTCCCTCTCACTTCCTCTCTCTGAAATCAATAAAAACATATTTTTAAAAATAATAAAATAAAATAAAAACATATCCTTGGGTGAGGATTTTTTAAAAAAGAATAACTGTCCTAGCTGGTTTGGCTTGGTGGTTAGAGCATTGGCCCATGGACTGAAGGGTCCCGGGTTTGATTCCGGCCAACGGCACGTACCTCAGCTGCAGGCTCGATCCCCGGCCCTGGTTGGGGCACGTGTGGGAAGCAACCAATCGATGTGTCTCCCTCACATTGATGTTTCTCTCTCTGTCTGTCTCCCTTCCACTGGTCTCTGAAAAGCAATATCCTCAGGTGAAAATTTAAAAAGAAAGAAAAAAGAAGAACTTAAAAAGGTCAGGAAACCACAGCCAGGGGACTGTCGGCTTTTGTAAATAAAATTTTGTTGAAAAACAGCCACATTAACTTATTTTCAGACTGTCTGTGGCTGTGTTTGCACGCACACAGAATTGCATAGTCGCAACAGAGACCATGCTGCTTGCAAAGCCTAAAATATTTCCTCTCTGTCCCCTTACAATTTTTTTTCCTGACTCCTGACCGAGAGCGTCAAGTTGAGAGGCTTCAAAATTGTTCTTTTGGGCTGAGGAGATAGATCACTATTTTGACTACAGTCAGCTCTGAGTTTTAGGAAATTTCTAAACGTTAGTAAGTGATTTTGCCCATAGCAGGACTAGTGGCAGGCAGGCAGGATGGAAAGGGGAGGTTCTGGAGTGGAGACAGGTGATGGGAAGTGACCCCAGTAGAGGGTGACGCTGACATGTTGCAGATGTGGTGTTTGTAACAGGATATATACCCAGCCTCTGAGTGACATGTCACTAACACCTTTCTGTTCAAGGGGAAAGGAACCAGACTCTCACAGTGTACCAGGACTTTTGCTGGGTGTTTTTTATATGTACTTTTTAAAAAATTATTGATTGACTTTACAGAGAGAGGAAGAGGGGGAAGAGAGAGATTGGTTGATACTTTTTAAAAAATATATTTTTATTGAGTTTTTTTGGAGAGAGAGAAAGGGAGAGGGAGAGAGGAAGAGAAACATGGGTATGAGAGTGGAACATCAATCGGTTGCCTCCTGCACACCCACAGCCTGGGCATGTGCCCTGACAGGGAATCGAACCAGCAACCTTTTGGTGCACAGGACAACACTCCACTAAATACTCAGAAACCTAAGCATATACGTTCTTTTTTACAGGCAAAAGGAAAGAAACCATTATTTGTACAGTTGATCCTGGAAAATATATGGAGTTTGTATGATGCTGTCTTTTAAATGCCATCTTTTAAAGGCTAACTGAGCCACACCTGCCAGGGCCATTGGTTGATTCTTGTATGTGCCCCGGCCTAGGACCAAGGATCGAACCCACCACAGCCTTGGCATATCGGGACAACGACCTCACCAACGGAGCTACCCGGCCGGGTTCCACGTGTACTTTTATATAATCCTCAGAGCCACCCTGTGATGTTGAACTTCTCACACCTCATGGCAGGTCAGGAAATGGAGAACCGGAGGGATCGGGTGGCTCACGTGGTGTCACGTTCTTCATCAGTGAAAGAGCATGAACTTGGTCCCAGGTCTCTCTGATTGCAAAGCCTAAGACAGTTCCAACATAGCAGGGAACTCGTATACAGTAGTTTAGTTTATAAACCCACCGTGGGGACGTTACGTCTCCAAAAATCAGCCCATGGGTCCCCCTTCATGGACGTATGGACGTTTTGGCTTCTCACTGGGTCCTGCCGGTTGAGTGCGCGGTGTGGGTGTTCTCCTGAGGGGGTTTCGTCCCCTGAAAGTGGATGGAGGCATAATACAGCTCTGGCTCCAACCCCGAGGTCGAGGGGGCCCCTGCAGAGCCTGTGGAGTCAGCGGGGCTGTTTAACTTGGGCTTCTTCTGGTGACCCTGTATGGAGAGCAAAGAACTGGGTCAGAGCGGGGCAGGGGTGGGGGGAGTCCCTGAGGTGAATTTGATTGTGACAGGACCTTTGTTCACTCTTCCATTCTCTTACTGAATATTTCCTAAGGACTCGTCAATTCACGTAGCCAACAAATATAGCTCTCATTGGTTGTTTTCTAGTTCTACTGGACACCCACGCAGACCTATGTGGAAAATACGATTATTTTATAAAGAAAGACACTAAGTCTCAGAGAAGTTAGGTAGTTCTCAAGGTCACACACCTGCTGTTCATGAACTCAACCCCTGGTCTCTCGGAGCCCTCCTACATGCTGGGCGCTGGATACGCAGGGAGGTGTTTATGAAAAATGCCTTCTCTTCCTGTGTGTCTCTCCTTTATTCTTTCTTTTTAATTCTTTTTATTGATTTATAGAGAGGAAGAAAGGCAGAAAGAGAGGGAGAGAGAGAGATGTGAGAGAGAAACATCCATCGGTTGCCTCCCATACGCACACCCCAACTGGGGATCAAACGTGCAGCCGAGGCACGTGCTCTGATCAGGAATCGAACCTGCAACTTTGGTGTACGGGCCGATGCTCCATCCAGCTGGGCCACCCGGCCAGGGCTCTGCTTTACTCTTGCACCAAGCAATTCTCCAACACCAGCTGGGCACCCTACAATTGCGCTCAATTCTGACACTATTTACTTGAAGATATTGTCAGAGACCACACGATAAGGGCTCAGTCCAAGGCCCATCCCCACNTTAACCACAAGTCCAGGTTGTCACCTGTGCTTCTGGCCAACTGGCTGTAAATAAGAGGTTCCCACGACCTCAATTAATTTGCTAGAGTGACTCACAGAACTCAGGGAAACAGTTTACTTATGCTGTGCCAGCTTGTAACAGAAGGGCATGAGAAAGGACAGCGGCGAGCGTCGGGTGGAGAGATGCATCGGGCGAGGTATGAGGGCAGGGCAAGGAGATTCCTGTCCTCTCCAAGGGCACCGCCCTCCCAGCGCCTCCCTGTGCTCACCAGCTCGAAATCTCCCCCAGCCCCGCACTCAGGATTTGGATGGAGGTTTCATCGTGTAGGGATGATCAATCATTAATTCCATTCCCACCGGGCCCTCTCCCCTCTCTGCAACTTCTAAGCTGCTCACCACGGCTTGGTCTTTCTGGTGACCAGCCCCCATCCAGGAATCCACCAAGGGTTGCCTCATTAGAAGAAAAAGACACTCCTATTACCCAGGAAATTCCAAGGGCTTGAAGGGTACAACCATTTTCTGCTACAGACTCATTTGTGTGTGTGTTTTTTTAACTTTGCTTTTTAAAAAAATTATTGTTGAAAGAATTACAGATGTCCCCTTTTTTCCCCATTGACCCCCTTCCACTCCGCACCCCCACCCCCCACCCCAGGCCTTCACCACACTATTGTCTGTGTCCATGGGTTATGCACTTAAGAGTATAAGTTCTCTGGTTAATCTCCC